GGGTTTGTGCTGGGAAGACAGTTACTGCCTCACTGAGAAAAACCATTAAGAAAACAAGTTCAGGGAAAAGTCTGTGTGACCTTCTGGGAATCTCACCCCAGCTCAGAGGTCAGTTGGAACTGCCAGTTCGGATTAGATTCACCCAGATGGCTGTGTGTGCTGAACCAGGTCTTGGGACGAAACACGCCCTCCCAGCCCCATTCGGCTGCAGTATCCATCTGCTTCACCTGTCCTAGTCAGAGCTTTTTCCCAGCGGCCTGACTTCTTAGCAGAGAACGTGCCTTCTCAGCCGTAGCAGCTAGGAGCCCCAGTCATGGACCAGGGCCCCGTTGTGCTAGGCGCTGTACAAACACAGAACAGAGCTTGCAGTTGAGCTTCTGCGTGGGGGAAATGCAGCCAATGCACCCGGGGCTGGGCCCTAAATTTTAATTTGTCATAAACTCTTCAATATTAATAAAGACACAACATTTTATGAAGTATTAAAGATCAAATTAATTAACTCATTAGTGGCAAACTCCTAGATTTAGCTGCCAGACCATGTCAGGGGCCAACAAGGGAGAAACTCCAGCCGAGAATGAGTCACCTGATGCTCGCACTGGACACAGGCTGCAGGAGTGTGGGGGGTCAGTAGGTGGCTGCTGGAAAGAATAAGACCTAGTTCCTGCTGTTGCCAAAAGCAAATGCCACCGGTAAACATCCTGCTGCATCAGGAGAGGCGAGGCCCAATGGAGCTGGCTGCACCATAACCCAGCAATAGAGCGAGAGCACATTCATTCAGCTGGCAAAACCCGAGCACACAATCCTGCTGGGAGCAGAGCCACCTTGTCCCCTGCTAAGCTCATAGATAATGCAGTAGGTGCATGGCTGGGCACCAGTGCGGGCTGCGCATGGATAGCACCTTGGAGGAGGGCACAGCACCTAGCAGGATTGTGCAGCTGGGGGGTGGCACTGGATGTCTGCCAGCGTGACGTGGGGCTGTGGCATTCCTCTGGGAGCAGGCAGGTGCTGTAGGTAAGAGGGGCTGGTGCTGCTGCACCCCTTGCCCAGGGGGCTGGGGTTCATTGTTCATGTTCAGCCCAACGCCTCACTGCAAATTAAAGGGGTGTGAGAAACAGGGAGGCTGCTGCATGGAGACAAAGTAAATCCCACCCTCCTTGGCTGAGCAGCAGTTCAGTGGCCACATGCTGGGGAGCCCTGCCCTGTGCAGGCAGGTCACAGGCCTCTCTTCCCCTCCACAAACACGTCCAAGTCTCCAAGCATGCATGCAGCTCCTTCTCTCCTTCATCATGCAGGTGTCATGGGCACCCACACATGCAGGTGCCATGGGAGCCCCCCAAGTGCAGGGGTACCACAAGTGGCACACCCCAGCAGCAGACACGTGACCCAGGCTGATGATCCGTGCACACCCCAGCTCCATCATCCTGGAAATTGCTTCCTTAGCTGCCAGTGCTAGCCATGCTGAACCCCACTGTCCTCATGCAGCTGATCACCTGCAGTGGAAGAGTCACTTCCTCAGGCAGGGAGCCTGGCGCCTGCTGCTGAGAATTAGCGAGGACACCAGAGGCCTCCCTTTGGAGGGCTTTAACATCTCTTTGCTTCCTCTGCTGGGAGCCAGCTCAGCTGCTTGCTGATAAATGGTTGTGGAGACTGCCTCACTGGCCCTTAATACTGGTATTTTCTTGCACTCTCCCACCCAAAGCTTCTGGGATGAATGTCCCTCCGTCAGTCACGCTCCTTCCCCGAGGGCCAGTTAAGCAGCAAGAGCCTGGAAAGTTACTTTTTTAATAAAACACACACCAGCAGGAAACGAAGGTCACAGCTACGCTAAATGCCAGCACCGCTAAGGGCCAAGTTGTCTTTCTGCACCAGTGACCTGAGACAATGGGAAAGGATCGCCAGTCACTTGGGGACCTGCCGGATAGTGCTCACGCCTCTTTCTGATAGATTAATGGCTCTGCGCCAGCCACAGCACAATCCAGATTCTGCATTTTCTCATTAACTGAAGGGAAAGCGAAGAGTGCTGAGTCTACTGCAGGTGCCTGAGGGTCAGTGGGCAACAACTAGACCTGGGCACTGGGAGTTCTGCTTCTGACATTGTCACCCACTCATTGTGCAACCTCTGGTCACTTTTAAATGAGTTGCCTTTTAATTTCACTGACTATCCCCTGGCTCCTCTGTACCGAGAGAGGATGGCTAGGAGAGCCTGCTCTGTGTCCTACAGCCCATTCACTATCTTATATGCCCTGGGCATGGTCCCCACTCTGTAAACCAGGGCTTTTTCCTCCCTCCTCATGCAGAAGTTGCCTAAAGGTTTTTGTTGCTCATCTATGTTTACCTGAGATGGGTGTGACCAGCCCTTCCTAGGTGAGAACATGCCATTGAGGATTATCATGGCTTTTAAACCCTTTGTTATACAAGATACTTAGTACAACTTGTGTTCATACAATGCCCAGGAACAGAGATTTATTTCCAGGTTGTGTTCATAACAGTGTGTTAGAGAACAACAGCTAGTGGCTTTATGAATCACTCACTTGACTGGAAGTTGCTGGTTGCCTAGGGACTGGGAAATGTGATCTGAGTGCATTCAATATGGACAAAAAAGAGTCCCAACCAATAATATAGACATTTGGTGCTTCAGAAGAGCTAACTTCCCAAAGCCAAGAAAATTATGACAATAAACATGAATGAAAGTTGGGAGTTCTTAAAAAAAAAAAAAATGTACGAGATGGCCAAAAAGCCACAATTCCACAATCGAAAAAGAGAGCAACTTTGGCTGAAAGCCCATCCTGGTTCAATGGTGACATGAAGGCAGCAATTAGAAATTGAAAAGCAACATATAACACCATGGAAAAAGGGGCAGTGGATTGCAAGCAATACAAATTAGAAGTTACGTAGGCAATTTATATGGGAAGCTAAAGACATCAAGAAAAAGAAATCCATGGCTGACAGGGCTAAGGACAGTAAGATAGAGTTTTTAAAGTATATTAGGAACAAAAGAAATCTTAGCAATGGTATAGGCCCATTACTAGCTGGAGATGGCAAAATTATTAATAATGCTGCAGAAAAGGCAGAAATGTTCAGTAAATATCTTGTCTGTATTTTGAAAGAAGCAGGATGATGTACTCACATCACATGAGGATAGCAGCCCATTAGTAACTAAGGAGGATGTTAGACAACATCAGCTAGGGATAAATATTTTTAAATCATCAGGCCCAGATGACATGTACCCAAGAGTCCTAAAAGAGCTGGCTGAGGAGTGCGCTAGCCTGCTAATGTTAATTTTTAATAAATTGCGTAACACTAGAGAAATGCCAGAAGACTGGAAAGGTGCTAATGTTGCAACACTATTTAAAAAGGGCAAGCAGGATGAGTCAGGTAACTGTAGGATGCTTAACATGACATCAATCCTAGGCAAAATAATGGAAAAGCAAATAAGGAATTCAATTACTATAGAGTTAAAGGACAGGGATATAATTAATGCCAGTCAACATGATTTAATGGAAAATCGGTCATTCTTTGATGAGACAGCAAGTTTGGCTGATAAGGTTCATAGACTCTAAGGTCAGACAGGACCAATGTGATCATCTATTCTCATTTGACCTCTTGCATAACATAGACCATGAGACTTCCCTGTATTAATTCCTGTTTCAAGTCCAATAGTTGTGCTTGAACTAGAGAATGTATTTTAGAAAAACCTCTAATCTTGACTTTAAAATTTCCAGTGATAGAGAATCCAGCACAAAGCGAACTGCGTAGATGTAATACACTCAGACTTTTATAAAGTGTTTGATTTAGTACCATGACATTCTGATTAAAAAATTAGCACTATACGCTACCAGGAAAGCACGTGTGAAATTGATTAATTGCTGGCTAACTGACAGACCTCAAAAAGTAGCCAGCAGTGGGGAACTGGTGTCAAATGGGCGAGTTTCTATCAGAGCAGAGCAGGGATCAGTGCTAGGTTTGATGCTATTAAACATTTTCAGCAATGAGCTGGAAGCAATTATAAAAAAATCGCTGCTGATAAAATTGGCGGGTGACCCAAAGCTTAGTAACTTGGGCCTGTTCAGATGAAATGCATGTTACTCCAGCCAAATGCAAAGCTAGAGCCTGGAAAGCAGCGATGCTGAAAATGATTTAAGGGTCAAGGTGGACAAGGGACTCAGCACAAGCTCCCAGTGTGATGCTGTAGCACAAAGGACTAATGCGATGCTGGGCTGTATAAACAGCAGAGCGGGTAGGCGGTTTTACCTCTTTGTGCAGCATTGGTGAGCCCAATTCTGGACTAATTTATACAGTTCCAGTGTCCACATATTAAAAAGGTTGTTGAAAAATTGGAGTGGGTGCTAAACAGAGCCACAATGATTGAGGGGCTGGAGGAAAAGCCTGATAGTGAGAGACTGCAAAAAGCGTATTCTGTTTATCTAAAGGCTTGCGAGGTGCCGTGATAACAGTGTCTAAGTACCTCCGTAGGGAGCTGATACCAGGTACTAGCCAGTGCTTTAATCTCGTGGAGGACAGCAGAACGAGACCCAAGGGCTAGAATCTGGCACCCAGGAAAATTCCTGTTAGAAATAAGGCAGGTGATTAACCATTGTGCCACACTACTGAGGGCAGAGGTGGATTCTCCATTGCTTCAAAACAAGACTGGCTGCCACTGAAATCAGGAGCCAATCATTATTGCCACTTGCCAAGGGCGATACAGCGAAGTCTGGGGCAGCCCACACTGGCCTGCATTGCCCCAGTGCTAACAGGGCGGAGGAGCATGCTGCAAACCTAGGGAATGGTTTAGAGACATAGGACGGAATGCATGTCGACTTAGACAAGTATCGAGCTGCCAGAGGGACTGCGTGCAGTCTAACATGCTGCTTCTCTCACCTGTGCCAGGCCCGTGTGTGTGTGACCCGCAGTGACACCACCAGGAACGAGATGATGAACCCATTTTGGAGGGGCAGGGGCCCAGTTCTGCTGCATTCATTAAAAAGAAACAGCCGAGCACCTTCTGTTTTCCAATGACATTGTTTATTAGATTCCTGCAGCCCATCAACACAGATGGGCCCAGGCAATGAGGTTGGTGTTTTCCCTTAAAGTGTCTGTGTGACATCAAGTCAAAGTTAAGCTTGTAGTCCAAGGCATTAGAGGACATTAGAAGCCATGAGAGGTGGTAGTAGCAGGCCGATTACAGGGGGCTAGCAAGATAGGATGTTCCATCCCTCCCACTGGTATAGTGGAGATGGGAGGCGGGGGGGGGGCACGAGGATTCAAACCAAATAAACACGGGCACCATGCAACATGATCTGCAGCTGGGAAGGGCTGGAGAACAGGATTTGGTTAGTTATTGTGGATTGCTTTGTCGGATGCTGCATGCTTCAGGGTGCAGCTGCCCATGGCAGGGAGCAATACGGTTACAGCTGCTCTACACGTTCTCCCAAATAGCACCTGCTTGCTAAAGGGAACCACAGTTCACAGGGTGCATCGGCTGGGACTGACCTCTCCTCTGGGGCCAGGTCTCCCCATGGGTAGATCACAACCATTTAAACAGTTTGATGTAATTCAAAATGCCTCAGAAGGGGCAAATTATCTGTCCTCCACTAGGGGCTGACTAAAAACCCCACTGGGTTATAGTCCACCCCCGGGAGCCTTCCCCTCCCAGCTCACTGACCCAGATCTCCTACTTCCTACAGTGACCCTGCCTTACAGCCGGAGCCAGGCCCTTCCAGTGGTGAGTCACCAGCTGGACACCACTGGCTCACCTGCTGCTTTTAGTCCTAAAAGGTTATTGTGATATTATTTCTTCGGCCCAGGAACACTGTCACTGACAGTTCCCCCCACTTCCCCGGCCTCCGTTCCAGACCCCAGCACCTGTCCCCGCGCGGGCTGTGTGCGTGTGGGTACAGCCGCACATACACAGGGAGATGTGTGTACAGGAGATTCTCACACATGCTTTTTTTTTTCCCCCCCTTTCACTTCAGCACAGACTTTCCAGCACCTGAATATTCCTCTGCTGCGTGGTTCCTTTACCCCAAGCAGTCAGCACAGCAACAGCCAATCCAGAAGTCTCCATGGTGGGGGGGGGGGGTGACACATGCACCCTGATTTGCAGCTAGCGTCTCTCAGACCTAGAGAGACTAAAAGAAAAGCCTTGGGAAGGCAGCTGGCGCCTTTGTCTAGGCCCGTTACCATACAAAACGAACACCACACACACGCACACACACACACACCTATTTACAGCCCATTTGTCACATGATGGAGCAGCTCTTGGCTCGGTCTTTCCTGATCTCTGTGTCATTCAACAAGTCCGTCCTGCTGGGCATCTGAGATGCCCGCTTCAGTCCCCGCTTGGAGTTGCTGCGCTTGAGATTCTTGTGCATCCTGTTCACGGAGGCCAGCGTGGTTACGTGGAAGACATCCCGCACGCTGTTCTCAGAGACCTTGGAGGAGCATTCCACGTAGGCCACTGCCCCCACCTGCCGTGCCAGCGTGCTGCCCTAGGAGTTGGGGAAGGGAGAGAAGCGTTTGGATGGCAGCCACTGGCAGCATCCGTTCACACGGCCTCAGCCTGCGTGTGCTGGCAGCTGCGGGCAGTAAGTGCAGCTCAGCGGGAAGCTGCTCTCACACAACGTTAATTCATCCCCTCTCCAAACAGGGAGAGCGCTGGGTGCAGACAAGCCTCCTGAGCAGCCGGCACTGTAGGTGCCAATGGGACGGCAGTGCCAGGAACGCTGGTGTCAGGTGCCGGTTCACTAATATCCCAGCTGTGGGCAGAATCAGCCTGTTACAGGCAGGAGGGCCCGTTTTCAGATGGCAGGAGGGCAAGGCGGCCTTTCCTCCTGACTCTCGCTTGGCTTCCGAGGCGCGAGAGGGCTGGGGTGCATATCCTCCCCCGAACTAGGCATTCGATTACAGGTTCTTCACATTCCCAGCCCCTGGGCAGGCAGCGTGGCCTGGGATTAAGAACACGCAATGGCTTGACTCCACCACCCCTGCCTCTGACAGCTCCACATGCCGGAGCTCTGCCACGCTAGATGCTCATGCTTCGGCAGGGCTCCAGGAGCTCATGCAGGGCTGTACCATTTCCACAGGCCAGCCTGAACAAGCAGTAGGGCTGGGACCACGTTACCCACAGAGACACCACAAGGGAGAGGGGCAGGGCCTTTTTGTGCTCCTAGCAGAAGTTAGAGCCGCTCAGCCATTGTGGGGAGACAAGGGACAGTAACTGCCGTGCTCACCGCGGTTAGATAATCGAGATAAATGGCACCAACTCCCAATGGGCAGTTAGAGAACAGGGGGGGTTGGGTCTCGTCACCGGCTTCTAACTACAAGAACATTTACCCCACAGAACAGCTTCTTTCTTTTCTCCTATCCTTTGCTCCCAGCTTGTCCTGGTGCAAGGGCCCCAGAGTTACCAGTCACTGGCTCCCCAGGCAGCTTCCCATCTATTAGACCTTTCTCTTGTGATTGGCACATTATTACCGTGAATTATTGGAGATTGGGGTCCCATTGTGCTGGGTGCTGTGTATATACTGAGACCATCCCTGGCCTGTCAAATAGACAGACAAAGGCTGGATTATTGTCCCCATTTTACAGCAAGGAACTGAGGCCCAGAGAGATGTAGAGACTTTTCCAAGGTCACATGTTGAACCAAGAGCTCCCCAGGCCAGTGCCTTAACCCCACACAGGTCCCATGGCAGACGGAATCCCTCCCCTCCACTTCTGGATAGTGGACCCTGAACCCATGCTGCCTAAAAGTGGGAATTTGCTCATCACTCAGCCAGACACCTGCTCCTTAAATGACTGCAGCCCTGGCACCTAGAAGAGGCAATGGGAGGACTTGTGAGCTCTGTGTCTCCAACGCATGTTTGTGACACCATCTCAGCTGCCCGACCTGCACCGACACCCTAGTAGTGAACCCGGAGGGGAAATCATCCCCTTGTCCCAGTGAGCAACCTTGAACAAGCAAAACCACAGCATCATTTATCCCTCCCCTGCAAGCTGACGCCGTGGTGCCATAAACAGAGAACAGGTTTCAGCCCACAGGAAGCAAGGACAGCCCGACAGTTCTAAAGAGGATGCCAGGAGGCTGCAGCTGGGTGACGGATGCAGCCGGGGCAACATGTGTCTCCCCCTTTACCCCCCAGCAATGCCAAAGAGATGAGGCTGAGCACTCAGCTCAGGGGCAAAGCGCTGCTGTCTCAGGCCTTGGCTGCACACAGTTGTGCCATTTAACCAAAGGCAGGATGTTAAACCATGCAAACCGCTGTGTGGATGTGCTGATTTCAGTTTAAACCACGTTAACTGATGTAAACTAATCTGAAGTTAAGAACTGGTTTAAGACAAACTGAAGTAAAACTGCTCTTGCACCAAAACACGCGTCCACGCCATGCGCCAGTTTGCATCAATTTGATTAAACAGATTGGAAAGGGCTTCAGCGGGCCTTGCACTGGCCCCCTGCACAGGGTGAATTTCTCCTTTGGAGCTTTCACCCCAGTTCACTCCCTTGAAATCTGGCAGGTAAAACTTCTCCCCGCCCCCCCCCAATCAAAGACTGTGTGGCAATTCCCATGCATCTGGCGGAATTGGCATCAGTGCCCTGGAGAGGTTATTGGGTACTGGGCAGCATGTGCCAAAGCAGCAGAAGGCAGGACTGAATCCATCTGTGATCGCAACTCCTGCATGCTCTGCGGGAACGTGCCACACTCAGAGATGTGTTAACCCACCTGACAGCAAATGGATCATCATGTGGCTTGCACTTGGGGCGCCCAACCTACCCCAAGACTGGCCCTTAATTGAGTAGTGGCTTCCTTGGAGGGGTGGACTAATGCAGCAGGACAGAATGAAGCCCAACCCTGGTGCCAGATGAACCCACAGACAGCAGCATCCTCCGTCTTACTCACAGCTTCCTCCAAGCTGAGGTCTCATGATCAGAAGCAGTAACAGCCTCCAACGGCCCATGATCTGCTCAGACAAGCGACATTCAGCACAAGGGCTCTGCCCCCAACTGCAGTCACCGAACACTGGCCTGGGGCTTTCACTCCACCTAGTCTGCAGCAGCCAGCCCCGCAAGTCACCCTGGTCACCGAGTGGAGAAAGAGCTTCCTGCTGGAGCCCAGGGAGCCCTCCCTCCTCAGAGCAGCCCCACCCCCTCTGCCGTTACCACCCACTCTATAGGGGAGACCAAGGGTCTTCATCACCTTCTAGGAAAGTAATTTTAGCTGCTCGGTGCGAACCAGAAACAGACGCCTGTATGCAGAGTAACGGCTCCTGGGAGGCGCCCGCAACCTGAATATTCAGCGAGAGGGCTAAGAATATACCCAGCTCACACTGAGGGTGGAGAGAAGAGCGTCTGCGAGCCAGAGCTGCCTGCTCCATCAAGCCTGGGCCACACCTGCTCTGGAGCAGGCAGAGAGGCCTGGCTGCTGGTCCCAGCACAACGGAGGGCATGCAGCCCAGCTCCCGTCCATCAGCAGGGCTTCCTGTAGCTAGCAGGACTTGGGGCATACCCCACCCCCTGGAGTCTCCTGGAGAAGCTCACCTGCTCGTGTGTGACGGGGATGAGGCGCTGCTTGGAGAGCTCCCGGAGGGTGTTCAGATCTGTCCGCATGTCCAGCTTGCAGCCAACCAGCACGATCTTCGCGTTGGGGCAGAACTCCTGGGTCTCCCCTTGCCACTGCGGGAGAGAGCAACACAGGGGCGGGGTTCAATGGCAGCTCGCAGGGCTCTCACCGAGAGGGGCTAGGGCTCTCCCCCCCGCACCTGCATCCTGGCAGCAAGACAGCCACCCAGGGCACAGCAGGAGCCAGCAAGGGGCATTAGCAGACTCTAGCCCTTTGGGCACAGCCCCTTGCTGCCAGCAGGGGGGGCTAATGGGGGCACCTCAGGAAAGCAGGCAAGGGCAATCGTAATAGTACTGTGTGTCGGACACGTCTTCCAGCTCCTCTCCCCGGCTCTGGGCAGGGAGTGAACACAGGAGTCCTGGCTCCCTGTCCGCCCCGCCCGCTCTAACCCACTAGGACCTACTCCCCTCTCCAAGCTGGGGAGAGAACCCAGGAGTCCTGGCTCCCCATCCGTGCCCTCCCCCTTCCACCAGAACACAGTGCTCCATGCTGGCTGGCAGGCAGTGTATCCGAGGACCCCACCTGGCCCAGTCAGCACAGAACGGAGCAAGAACCCCAAGGCCCCGTCGCTGGAGCCGTGCTCCACAGGGGTGGGGCGCTGCTTTCAGCAGGTTACCTGCAGCCGGCTGGCAGGGGGCTCCCCAGAGACTCCAGGCAGCTGCAGCTGACAGGCTCCCGTTTTTCCCCCTGCCCACCCTGGTCTTCAGTTAGCGGCAGCTGGCCCCCAGCCCAGGCAAGCTTCCCTCAGGGAAAAATCTCTCTGAACCGCCAGCTCCACCCTCACTCTCAGCTCCCTGGCTCGGCTCAGTGTCAGCCAGCCTGCAATTTACGGACTGGCATTGGGCTCCCAGTGAGGGAGAGGCCTCAGCCTTCTCCAGGCTGCACGCCAGGGCCCTGGCCCATGCCGCCCCCACCCCACGAGTTTGCGTGGGCGCTCGCTTCGGAACAGGCGTCCCTAACCAGATGCTGCTGACGTGGATTTACCCTGCCAGGGTAGGAGCCCCAGCAACCCCAAATCAGGGGGACTGATGTCAAAGAAGCCCGGGGTCCATGAGACACAGGGGTGGGAGGGAAAGGGGTATGCAAGATCACACCTGGATTCGCTGAAGCTAGACACGCCAGAGGGGACTTTGCCGTATCCCATTACAAAACACTCAGCCAGTGCACATGCAGGGAGTGGCTGGGTACCTGGAGGCCAGGATGGGAAAACACAGGGACAGTCGCTTTTTGACCTTTTGAAGCTAACATGAGGCTTTAATGGGATGAGGCTGGAAAAAGCTGCAAAACCCTCCAGTGCAGATGCCCTTTCCAAGCTGGGGGCACAGCTGTTCGAAGGGCAATTAGCTCACTAGGGCACGTTATTGATGGTCACAGGCAGGGAATTAGCAGAGTGTCTCTTGAATAGGGGGCTTTCTGCTCACTTGTTCCAGATGTGCCTTGCAGACCTGCTAAGCCTAAGCTCCCATCCCCCACTGTGGGCCCCCAGGAAGCCTCTTCTGGGCTCAACTAAGGAAGAGTAATGACCACACAGTCTGGTGCACAGATCTGGCACTTCAAAGGGTGCCCCAGCTGAGCCCTCTGCACAACTGTTTCCAAGACACCCCAGTCAGCAGGGAGCTATTTACACAGCAAACACGGAATTGGTTTGCCTGTCAGACTTCAGAACACAGCCGTGGCCAGTGGCCTTAGGAACTGGGAGCCCTGGAAGGAATAGGCTAGGGCATCAAACGGCCATTTCCTCTGCTCTAACTGGCAGCTTCTGAAGCTCCAGCATGCAGCTCAGTGGCTGCAGCAGAAAATAAAACCATCCCCTGTGACCTCTCCGCCCTCTACCCCTCCCCAAAGAAGATTTGTCTAGGTCGCCCTTGCTGTGATCTGGAGTCAGCTACCTGGCTTCGGTGCTCAGTGCTGGGAGGTGCAGGCAGACAGTGAGCAGAAACTCCCAGCATCTCAACTCATCCAGCCTTCACTCAGAACTAGCAATATCCTACTAGAGGAGCCGATGGGAAAATATTCCAGGCAATTAAAAGACGACCTGGTGCCCACGGTCTGATGGAAAAATACATGGCTCAGAATAGCACCGGTTTCATTCTGCAAACATCAGGGCAGAGCAGCCACAGCTGGACTTAGAGGGAGAGAAACCATCTATTCCACCAGGAGGGTGGGCCTCAGTGTTTGCTTCCCCACAGACTGTCCACACCTGTGGCCAGGGACACAGGCAGCCTCTGTGCTGCTCAGCAATTCCGCTGCCCCAGCAGCTGACTGCACAGCTCACGGGAGATTCCACGGTCTCGGACATCACTGCCAGTTGCCATGACTCAGAGGCTTTGGATGGCAGGTACCTAAAATTCCTTTGTAGCTTGAACGTAAACATCAGCATTCATCCAGGGGATAGAGATCCTGATCCTGGAGAAGGTGGAGCAGCAGGGTCACCCGAACTAGGCTCCAAACTACTGCAGCCCCAAAATGACAGTCCCCTACACTGGGAGAGAGGGGCCTGATTCTGGTCTGTAACCAGGCAGAAGTTAATCTGCATGAGGCAGATGCTGGAGAGGGACACTGGGACTGGAGTTTGCCGTGGGTCCCAGACACAGGGCTGCACTACCAAGACCTGTCAGGATTAAGGCACTGCACCACGAAAGCCCAGGCTGTATATACTAGCAAGCTGTTTGTTTGGATTCTCTCAGGTGGCTCCTTCCCCCTCAGTGTGACATGCTGTGACAAACTAGGGCTCCACGAATCAAATGCTCATTCAGGTTTTGCATCCCAGGCATCAGACGGGCTGTGATAGTAAAAAGATTCCTCTGCTGAATTAGCATCTTGGCCCAGGGCTTTATTAGGCAGCTTTATTATCCTTACTAATTTGATATCAAAAGCTAAACTCTATTTCCACTTCATGGTGTCTTAGGCATTCTCCTCACCTCTGAAGGCTGCAAAACCTGCGCCAAAGGAAACAAGGCATCTACTCAGAGGTACTTAAGAAATCCCTGGTGTTTTAGGGTTTATTTTAAGTTGCCATATCAAAAAGACATTGCCTAATAGTATTTGAGGCATCTGGGAAGGCTGTGCAGGGAACATCTTGCATTTAACAGCACAGAAGTGTATGCAAACAGGGCCATAAATAAATGCCAGCTCAGGATAATTAGTGGGTTTCTTGCTCATTAAGGTAGAAATGATTTGCTGTTGCTATTATTCTGCAGATCCTTAAACTGGGCAATGAGTCTCCTTACCGTCCACATGCAGCCTGCCGCCCTCTAAACAGCAAGAGCCAGATCTAGGGAGCTGATTTGGATTCAAACACTGAGCGAGTTGTTAAGGGTCTTTGTCCCCTTTGCCAGGATCTTGCAGTCCCAGCCCCACCTCCCAGTGCTCCCTATCAGCAGGAACAGCTGAACAAGAGGCATTTGCTTCAGCTCAGCAGTTGGCAAAACTTTGTGGGGGTCACCAGGCCAGACACCACAACGTGACTTATTCAGAAGCCAGTGTCTGGGCCAGTCCAGTAACTTGGGGCTTGTTAGCGGGAGCAACAATAGCGATCTCTTAGATTTCTGCAGGGCCTTTCGCTCCACGGGACTCCAAAGTGCTTTTCAAAGCAGATATCAGCCATGGCGCCGCTCCGGAGAGGGATAGAGCAGCTATTTCACAGAGCACAGCAATGGTGCACCGCAGTGAGAACTGCAGGAAACTGCAGGAGGAATCTCAGCCGAGGGAATGTAATGGCCCATCCGAGTTTGGCCAGGATGCTAGGGTAACAGGAAGTGCTATCGGGTCACAGATGTGGGTTTTGCAGCTCACCAAAAAGGATGCTGCTCCGACAGCATGATACCCGTAGGCAAAATTCTGGGACGTTGGGTCACTCAGTGCTAACTCAGAGGGAAATGCTTCCCCGGCACCGTTCCTTGCAGTGCTGCAGGTTGTCCCTGGTAGCCTCCCATCTCTGTACCACATAGTGCATACAGGTCTGCTGAAGTTCTACCCAAATCTGTTATCTCTGGGTAGCTCTAAAGATCTGACATACTATTACCAGCCACACAGAACGGCTTTGCTGGAAGGTGCTAAACTTTCACTAGACAAACCTCTAGCTGCTAGTGGAGAAGCTTGACCGGTCAGCTCAGATTTATGCTGCCAGTGGCCCGTGGCAGGCAGCGTCCAAGTGCCCATGGACTAACCATGGCCCTCTGCCTCCCTGCCTGGCCAACAACCTCATGCCAATTCATCTTATTCTCAGACAGGTCTGAGATTCAGCGGCACAGCTGGTTATTTTTGTTGTCAGTCTGTGGGGAGTTGACCGCCACCCTCTCCACGGTGCATATGCTGACCTGAGGGGGACTGAGCCAGCTAATGAACTCTCCAGTCACAAGAAAATAAGCACCAGGCCCACTTCTCGACTCTCGTGAACTAATTCCTAGCACGCCGGCTGCTGGGGGTGCTAACCAGGCCTTTGAGATGCACAGTACTTTCCAAGGGCTTCATTAAAAACAGAACACCCACCAAGCCACCCCACTCCTATGCACACACTCCCTTCTCCAGCCATCCAGGAGCTGCACTGTTCATATGGGTGCCTTTCAGTTTGAAATGTGTCACTTTCTGCTGCAGCCCAGGTGGGGGGAGGCAGCAGCCGCTGTCAAGGGTAGGGATGAGAAAAGTGGCCTCTGACCTGGCTCACGGCAGAGGACTGGCCCCTCCAGAAGGGCTCAGGTATCAAGAGCCTCACTCCAGGAAAGAGCTGGTCCTTTCCCAGGCAGTGTGAGCACCCTGGGGGAGGGGGAAAGCGCACCAGGTGAGCAAGTGTGCACAGGCCATCTTGCCCCACCACTCAGGGCCCCGTCCCTGTGAGCGGAGAGCCCGACACCATTCCGAGCTGGGTGTTAGACAATGGCCAGGACACACAGTCGGACCTAGAGGGTCGACAGGGCATTCACCTGGCCCATGGCAATGCCCTGACCTCATTTCCACAGGCCTTGGGCTACAAATTCCCAGAGTGGCACCCTGGGCTGTAATGACACAGCCTGCTTCATGGGACAGCGGCCACGACGGAGCACCAGACACTGACCTTCTTGAGTACACTGTCCAGCGTCTCTGGGCGGCTGATGTCAAAGCAGAGGAGCACGGCGTCCGAATCAGGGTAGGCCAAGGGGCGGACGTTGTCATAATACGCTGAGCCTGCAACAGAGAGAGGGAGGTGAGCCGTTAGACATGCTCCACACCCCTGGATTGTGCCAGACAGGAGCGAGGCGGTCAGTTATTCCTGGAGCCTGGTGAGGGCAAGCCAGGCAGGTAGACCTGTTCGCTCTCCCAGGTGCCAAATTGTTAATTCCAGGCACAGCTGGTGGTGATGTTGCTACAGAACTGCCCAGGTAATGTAATTAATGCCACTCTGTCTGGGTTTATGGACAATAGAACCTGTCAAACTAATCTGATATTTTTTGTATGAGATTACAAGTTCGGTTGATAAAGGTGATTGTGTTGATGTAATATACTAAAATTCCTGTAAGGTGTTTGATTGGTACCACATGACATTCTGATTAAAAACTAGAATGATATAAAATTAATATGGCCCATTAAATGGATTAAAAGCCAGCTAACAGATAGATCTGAAAATGTAACTATAAACAGGGAATCATCACTGAGCAGGTGTGTTTCTAGTGGGATCCTGCAGGGATCTGTTCTTGGCTTTGCCCTATTTAACATTTTTATCAATGACCTGGAGGAAAACATAAAATCGTCAGTCAGCCAGATTCCCTTTTTTGGTACATAAAAACGGGCCGTGTTTGGAGACTGGGCCATAAATAGAGGAACTCCGACTCTGGATTCCGCAGGGTTTCTGGTGGAGCTGGCAGGATGCCTGCACTGCTCCCCACCCAGCCAGCCCTCAAATGCAAATGTCAGCCATTAAAGTCAGCATCCCATCACGTTTTTATTTGAAGTGCATTCTGTGTGCGATTGTAAATGCCTCAGTAAACAGTAATGGAGCAATCAGCTCACTGCTACTTAAAACCACTGTTACAGTTTTATATTTGGCTTTACAATGGCTTAAGCTTCCGGGAGGGATGAGCAGCAGCTGTTCATTTATGAAACGGGGAAGCAGAGACACCCGAGTCCTTGTTGAATTCACTATTCTTTTTCCCTCTTTTGCCAAAAGAATCCCCCACCCCGAGGGTGCGGAAACAGGACACACTTCCTGTCGGCAGCCCCTTGGGAATACTCTTGGCCGGCACTTTCCCACTGCGAGGGAGGGAGTCAGAGCACCCAGGCCGGGTGTCAAATGGCCCCTTGATGGAGCGCAGCATCTGATGAATTATGGATGATGACAGTTCACATTTCCGGAAGGGCGAGAGGAGAATAGGCTAATTCTCTGCTGGAGTTTCTAGTCATGAGAATCTAGCTCTCCTCCCCTGTTGCTGGCTAAGAGAAGGCTCTGCCACACGAGCCGGGATGCATAGCACCAACTGGGAGCTTGGCAGATAAGAGGACAAGACCCTGACCCAAACTGTCTCCCATTGAAATATCCTTCTCCTCCATGGCGGGAGGGGGAAATAAGCCACTTGGAGCAGGGTTTCCTCGTCTGTGCAGACAAGCTGAGCACAGAGCCCTATTGATTCCCGGTTCAGCCCCGGAGAGGGAGAACATTCTGATCTCCCCATTCCACAGCAGAGCAGGCAGCCCCCCGGCACCATCAGGGCTCAATGGGCTTTAGGGGAATCCTAACGGAGCACATGTGCTAACCTCACAGAGCCCTCCCACTATCAGAGAAGGATACATCAACTCTGCCCAGCCAAGGGCCATGCCAGAACCCTAAGACCAGTCCCACAGGTGCTGTGCATGGCTGCCATCTGCTCTCTGGTGGAGTGCTGAATGCCGAGGCCTGGTACTGAAACACAGCGGGGTCATGGGCTGCATGTTAGAATCCCCCGAACCATGGAGAGGAGGTCAACAGATCACGGGTCTGATAGTGTGGTGCCACAAGTGAGCGTTCAGGAAACCTAGAGGGCTGGGGATGGGGAGCCAGACAGGAATCAGCCCACCACTCACTGTAGAGACGAGGTGGGTGAGGTAACAAGTTTTATTGGACCAACTTCCGCTAGTTAAAGAGACGTGCTTTCCTCACCCACCTTGTCTCTCTCAAGCCTGGGACCAAACACAGCCACAGGAACACTGCAAACTGTACGAATCAATCAACACTTTACCAGGCATGTCTTATCCAGAGCCAAAGCCGCAGGGATAGGACATGAGGGAGCAGCTCCTGACAGCTCCACAGTGCATCTGTTAATCCCAGATGTCCGCTGTTCATTAGGGTCACATCTCTCCTAGAGTGATCCCCATGTGGGGAGGGGTCTCCCATTGTGGGAGCCCAAAATGCCTTGAGCCGGATTTTCCAGAAGTGCTGAGCACTCAGGACTCCTGGGGACTGGAGAAGTTCAGACTCACTGCAAAATGAGGGTGGCCCCAGCCTACGACAGCTCCAGCACAGGGCACCTGCTTTTGAGCGATCGGACTCAGATGCTCCAGTCTGGGCCAGTTAAGGCTCCAGGCCCAAGAGGGAGAGTCACCACCAGCCTGCACGAGAGAGCCCCCTGCACATCGCACTAGAAGCTAGAGGATGCCCAGCCAGCACCCCAGTTGCAGGGCAAGCCAGCTGCCTGTGCTCCCACCTGCCATAACTGCCCGACAGCCTGGCCCGCCCCTGGGGTTCCCCGTGGGAACACTCTGGTCTGGTCTGTGGAGGCAGCAGCCAGCAGGCTGAGAGAGCAGCTGAAGGAGCCCCTGGAATGCTGCACCCTGCGGATCCATCTGGAGAGTCCCGACCCAACCTTAGGCCTGAATCACCTTGTCTGTGGCTGGCAGGTCTGGCACCAGCCATCCCTCCCCTTCCCAGCTGTCCCCGGAGCAGAGCGGCCCCCACTCCCACAGAATCGGAGGCTGCTGGTTAAAGTGGCCAGAACCCTGCAGGGCTGAGCTCCACTAGGCAGCCAGTTTCCAGGCCCCTCTTCCAAAGCCAGTTGGGCAGCTTGAGCTCTGTTACAGTCTGGGCAATGATAGACACAGGCTCTGCTCTGGGAACCGGTCACGGGGCCCTCCCGGCTGCACTGGGACCCAGCTAACGGACATGGGACCCAGCACAGATCTCTGCGTGCTCAGAAAGGAACTTGGACAGAGTCTGTATAGAGCCTTTATCCCCCTGTGTGGGCAGGACTGCACCCTCACCCCCCCTGGGCAGGAGGCCCCCCATCCTCCCCCGACACCCTGCCCCACACACCCTCTTGTTAGAGTTAAAGTTTTAAAGAAAGGTCTCTGGATGCCTCCTCCTCTCTTCCAGTCTGGGCAACTTTCCCTTTTGTGCAGGAGATTTCGGCTCCTCTGAGCACAGTCATTGCTACAGCCAACTGTATCCTAGCAACATGCCATTTCCTGCAGCGCATCCTGCGGGGCTGCTGACTAATGGAGCACGGCCCTTGATTTAGTCACTACCCTCCTGAGTCACACACACACACTTCAGCAGCTTCTCCCACCGCGTGAGCATGCGCTCGCTGTTCAGGGGCTGCCAGGGCAGCGGGGGCCTCCCGCTGATGGGGAGGAGGCTCCAGGCCAGAATGGCCTTTGCACCCCCTGACAGGCTGCTCCCAACTCAGGAGCTTGGGAGAGGCACAGAAGCAGAGGCTGAAGTCACACTCATGTCACTCCTGGCTGGTCCAGAAACCCGCCTGCTTTCCAGAGTCTGTTCCAGCCATGAACAGCAAAGGCCGGAGCAGTCTCTGCCTGCCCTAGTGGCCCCAAAGCCAGAGGGGTTTGGAGGCGGAGGAAGGCTTGGTTTCACATCTCCCTAAGACCCAGGCTTTCCAATGGTCTTTCAGGGAAATGACTTTCAAATTCGCCTGAGGGGCCATTTTAGAATTTCTGCAGCCAACACTTTGACAATCAAAGACCCTGGTCCCCCCAACATAGACTCTGGCTTGCTGACCACTCTACGCCTTTCAAGGATTCCAGCGAGACGCCCTGGAGACCTACGGTTTAGCGCTTTCCAAGGTGTGCATGGGCTTATGGGTCCATGGAGCCAGCCCGCCAGGACTGCCTAGGACATGCTCCCTTTCAGATCCAGGTCTGCAGGAAATAAGATTGATGGACATCTGTCCATGATTAAAGAGAGAAAACTAGACAGTCACCAAAGTCACTGTCAAAAATAAAACAAAGCGTCTGAAATTCAGAGGTGACTAGCTCCTCTCCCTTAGCAGCACCATGCTGGGGGTTGTGACTCGGCCAGGGAGTCTCCTGTTGTTGGGCAAGGGACTGCAGTGTGCTGTTGCCTTTACACCAAAACAGTGCTAATCTCAGTTTGCTGCTTCTCAGCTGTTCTGAGCGATAATGAGACTCGGAGCACGGGGCCCCTCCAGCCAACACTAGCATGTTCCAAGCTGGGACAGCGAATATGGATCCAGAGCCCCAGCAGGCTGGGCAGGAGGCCCCCACCAGCCCTAGCTTATGCAGCACAGAAAGCTGCCGAGGGGCCTGAATCTTTGAGCCTCACGCTCTACCCAGAGGATTTGCTGTAAAAACCTCTTCCTCCAGAGCCCACAGATGCTGCAGTGTATCGTGGAGTCCTGCCAAGAACGTCCTTTACAGAGCAAGGCAGCAGCTCCAGCCAGCTCGCTGAAGTGCTGGATGCCAAGCACAAGGCGCAAAGCCAGCCCACAGATTGCAGAGCCTGCCGAGAACGCTCCCCCTGCACCAGAAGAATCCCAGCTCCCAGGCATATGGCGAACAAGACCACTAGCTGAGCACCCTCAGCCTCCGCTTTGTGCGGGGAGGGTGCTCGGCTCGTTTTCCTCGTCTGGTGCTCACAGAAGGCCCCAGCTCTGTGCAGAGGGTTCACACCATTTCTGCCAGTCCTAGCATGGCAGCAGGCTATCTAACGCGCCATTTCCACTCCAAGGCCCACTCCCAGCTCAGATCACACACACGGGAGGCCATGTGGCCATAGCTGTAAATAACAACACACATCTTCCCAGCACCTTGCACTGCAGGATCTCCAGCACATCAGGAACATGTAACTAGGCGGACACAAACAGGGGGACATAGCAACCCCTGCAGCCCCCACCCCTCTGGCCTTAGGTCAGCATTCTCGCCCTTCTTGGCTATATGAAGTGGATGGGAGATACTGCTTGGCA